AAGAAATTTCGGCCAAGTAGAAAGACAAGGCAAGCTAGGCGGCCTTGGTCTCATTTTGCTCCATGAATCCGGTTCAAAAATGTTTGGTTTGGTTTAATTAGGTCCATCCAAAAATGATGAGACCTGGCTAAATTAAATCCATGAAAAATTAGGAGCAAAATGAGTCTAATATGTAAAATTTTGCCTAGGCCCAATTCTGGCCCAATTACTAGTCACACCCTCAAGCATTGCTAATTGCTACCCTACTTCTACTACTGAAAAATAGAAAAAGAGTGACCTTCAATACAAGGTTAATTGGAGCAAAAGTCTCCAAGGAACCTACCCTAAAAACAATATACAAAAGTATATAAAAAGAAAACAGAGTGCCTTAGAAATACAAAGGCTAAAAATGACCTATACAATGAAAACTATGTACAAGATATATACAACAGAACTATGCCTTCTCTTTATGATAAAGTGGTCCAAATGAAGAGTACCTTGGACTTAGAAAGCCCATTGGTCTTCAAGTTGCCGCGGTTGAGCTCCAGGTAGCACTCGCCCCACGCCTCAATGAGTGTGAACGTCGCCTCCTCGCCCCACACTCAAAAACCCTATAGGTACTGTTTTTTAGCGCGCGGGGTGGAGAAATTAATTTGCTCATCCTTCTACATCGGTCAATAGAAAAACCAATGTAGAATACTTCATTTTTACATTGTTTTTAGGAAGAACCGATGTAGATATGCTTATATTTTCTACCTATTTACAAGATTGCCACCGCATATTTTTTTTACATTGTTTCTTGGAGAACCGATGTAAATATGACGATGTTAAATAGTACTTTTCTAGTAGTGTCTTGGCCATAGCTCTAGTGATTGGACCCTTGGCCCATGGTCCATCATCCTTAGATCACACTATGTTCTTTTCCTTTCTGACATCTCATTATTAGAGAAAGACAAAGAGATAACTAAAAGGTTCTTTCAAGAAAGTATGTGTTGATCTGGAAAGCCAAACTACACAGCTCTCTTACCATCATGAATTCATGTATGTTTCTGTTTATTGTTTCTTGTTATTAACATGATAGATTTTGTATTTTATATAGATGATAGTTTTCATCAAAGGCTTAAGTTTGGTTTTAACAGAAGAAGCCCCACTTGCTCTGTATGATTTCAAAGACAAGCCACAACATAACAACTTAAACTTTTCTACTACTCTGGCCATCTAAAGAAAGGAAGGAGAAGAAGACAAAGAAGATTCTCGGTCTAGAAGGAAATGAAAGAAAAAGAAAAGGGAAATTGGCTCTCACTTTCAAAATAGCTTTGTGTGTCTCTTAAAAAAAAAAAAAAGCAGTGTTATAATTGTTGTTATATTGGACTATATACTATATCACACTATTTACTAACATTGTGTAGTATAATTTGCAAATATGTGCTTTAGTTATTGATATTAAGATCAATATTTATGAAAGAATATTTAACATAATTTTTTGCTTACTTTTTTTTTAATAATTTTAAACTAATTTTAAAAATAAATCATATAATTAAATAATAAAAATTTTGGTAAGAATTAATGTATTTAGAAGAGGAGCTATTAACATAGATAATTATGAGATATTTTTATTAATTTAGATTAATGAGTAATCCTAGTACTAATATTGACAGCAAAGACAATAATAATGATAACAACGATAATGAATAATGATAATAATGTTAGTTACTATTATTTATTTTTATATATAATCTAATAGATATTATTTACTCTTTTCATACATTTTATAAAAGTAAATATTGATATAATATATATTCTACTTGGTAAATTCAAGTGGCTTCTGTGACATATTCCTTAGGAGGTTACTTGTCTCTCAATTAATGGACAAAATTCTTGATATAATTCTTTTAGCAGAACTTTTTGAAGTTTCCTTGGTAATTCACGTAATTCTTTAACATATATTCTTATTTTGCGGCTTACTTTATTTCTGTTACATCATGCAGTATTTCACTATTGTATATGAATCATCCTCTAAGAAAAAAATATAAAGTGAAAAGGTTAAAATTTATTTATCATTTTGAATTAAATTATCTCATACAGATAATTCATTATAAATTAATAGTAAATTCATCCTTACTTTTCCCTTGTACATCTTTTAAATTTAGATGAGTTACAAATCTTTCATATATAATTCTGTTCATACTCCATAGTTCATAGTTTCAATGAGCTTGTCTTAGTTTCCATTTCTTCTCATACTCTCCCCTCTGCTTAGTGAGCTTATTATATACTTTATTTTTCTGTTGAGAAATAAGTGAGAGCATGAGAATAAGCTTGCTTGATGACTTGAGTATGAAGGTAAAAAAAAAATAAAAAAAATAAAAATAAATACAACAACATGAAGTCATTGTATCTCAAGGGTTTCTGATAAAGCTGTTTCAGAATCTAAAGGAAAGATGAATTTTATTGATGAACCCTAAATCCTAAATGATGTGCCAGTGTAGTTGTTTATGGGCCTATTTAAATAAACATCTCCATTAACACTTCTAGGAGAAGAAAAAGAAAAAGAAAAAAAATAAACTTCTCTATATAATTTAAAATTAGTTAGGTAAGTTAAAAAATATATTTTCAAGAAATTAATAAGAAAGAACTTGTACAAATTAACTTGTGTATAAGTTAAATTTAACTTTTGAACTTTTTTTCATTTTTTTCTTATTTTCTTTAAGTATTTCTAGATAAATTTATCAAAAAAAAAAAAAAAAAAAAAAAAACTTTTAACACCCTTCCACTTTCATTCCACTATACTTAAGACCCTTCCACTATACTTCCACTATAAAATGTTAATCCTTTCGCAAATGATATGATCATTTCTCTCTCAACCTCCCCTCTTGATTTGTAGGCAATATGCCTATCTCAGTTCCCCCAACTAACCTAACTAATTCCCTCACTAACAAACACCTAAGTAACTACTAATGGGTATTTATGAGTTTCCTCTTCCCACCTATCTATCAACACTTATATTTATAGTGAGAAAACAAATGCATCAAAGTTAGGAATGCCATAACATGTTACTGATGTAAAAAAAGACTTAAAATAAAACTTTCTGGGAAATGGTATTGCTCATTAATTTTTCAATAGATGTTGGTAGAACTTTTTCCCCTTTAGTAACTCCATCTACTTTGGATTAATCAAGATCCAAAATGACTTTAAGATACTCGAGGGTTGAGACAGAAAAAAATCTCAAGGAGGGCTTAAAACAGTACCATTTCCCTAATCCACTGAACTTATTGAAATTTGTATCTTAGTATTTCACTGTCCATAAAAGTATATCTGGACTCTGGAGTACCGAATATCAAAGGCAACAATAATCTTGATATCTGGATGTTGGAAGCTACCTCCTCAATTAGAAACAGGGACTCCAAATAGTCTTCACTAGTGACAATGAACATCTAGTTGATTGCAATTCACTAGCAAGGAAATGCATTTTTATCAACTTTTACTCTTGCTGGTTTCACCTGTGCACTAAATTGTTTTATGCGGTTATATTGATGACGATCATACATTATAGAGAGCACTCACCCACGGTTTAGAATTGCGATTTCTATTTCCAAGGTTAACCCTACAGTGGAAGTTAAGTGAGCCATTACCAGATTCAAGGAACTTACTCTTCTCATCTCACTTCCCAGTTAAGTGAGCATCTAGTTAATGGCATGCATATGGAAACAACATTTGTCCTCTTGGGAAAATCAGAAACTGAGCAAATTTTTCATCATGCTATTTGCTGCAATAATATTTGATACAAAATTTTGGAAGAAATGAACAAAATGTAAAGTCTTCTTCAGATGCTTGGACTTGCATTGTATTAGAAATCAAACCTCTTAAATATGGAAACGAAATGTGTACATTAAAAGAATCTACACAATCTCAAACTCAATCTTTAGCAGTACTTTTTACAAATTGTTCTTGTACCGGAAGGACCCTATCGGTTACGTGGATCGGCCACGTGGACCGGCACGCCATGTCCTATCAGATGTTGACGCAGCTCAGATATCATTTTGGCTCGGCTACGTGGATCGGCCACGTAGACCGACACGTCACGTCCTATCAGATGACACTACTCGAATACTACTTCGATTTGATAGGGAACTAAGAACTGTGCTCTTCCCCTATCGGCTCGGCCAGTAGCCGAAAGAGAACGTTTCGGCCATTCTGTCTCGACTCGGCCAAAAGTCAGCATTGAATAATTCGAATGACGATTATGATTAACAAGGGACAAAACATAATTAAGATATAACCCGCCGATTAGCACCATATTACCTAATTTGGTAAGTACCACAGAAGGCCCACCATGCTCAGGCCCCATGTCAGGTATTATAAATAGGTTACACGTAACGAGGTATGTCACTATTCATTTATTACCCTAGAAAATCGTGCTTGTCTTGACTTGAGCGTTGGAGTGCCTTTTGCAGGTACCTCCCCCACCCTGAAGAATCCATCTGAAGCTCCTGTTCGGCCCTCCTTCACCCCGGAAGATTACGAGTGTATCCTCAGACAGGTACATTTTGGCGCCTACCGTGGGGCCGAACCGACAGCTTTTGAAGAAGTCAGACTGAGTACTATTTCGAAGAGATATCATGGCAAAGACAAGGAGAAATCACATGGGAGACCACCAATTCGAAGATGAACACCAGTCCGAAGCAGATACCGCCGAGACGATTGACGAGACCAACATGGCTGAAATGATGCGACAACTAAAAGAGGAAATGGCCGTCATGAAACAACAACGAGAGAAAGATGCTCGTGAGATGGCCGCCTTGAGGGAAGAGAATGCTGCCTTGAGAAACCAAAACAAAGACCCCACATGGAAACCTTCCGAGCCGACTCATACCCAGGGTTCGTTTCACTCACTCGGACATACCTCTCTTCCCCACACTTCCACTGTCACCCCAGGAAATCACGCCTCGGCTGCCCAAGCCACCGGCCGACCCGCATACGCCCCACCTACTGGAGCACACTGACACCCTTTCACCCCCAACATAATGCAATCCCCCCTTTTAGACCATTGGAAGTCCCTCCCGATAGATAAATATGACGGGACCACTGACCCCGACAAGCACGTCGATATTTTCCTCACCCAAGTCACCTTGAGCACTACTGACGACGCCGCCCTATGTCGTATTTTCCCAACATCCCTGAAAGGAAGGGCATTGAGTTGGTTCACTCGTCTCCTGGCCAACTCGATCGACTCTTTCAACACCCTGGCATCCCGGTTCACCATCCAGTTTGCCACCAGCCGACCCCACCATCTGACTTCCCTTGCGCTGGTGAGCATAAGGCAAGAGAAGAAGGAATCCCTTCGGACTTTCATGAGCCGATTTAATAAAGCGGCCCTTGAAATTCGAGATCTCAATCCGGCTGTCGCCCTCCATCATTTGACCACCGCCTTGAAACCGGGACCATTTTCCAACAGTATCTGCAAAAAACCACCAACCGACATGGACGATTTGCGTCGGCGCGCCGATAAGTACATGCAGATGAAGGAACTTGCGGAATTTCGCAATCAAGCCAGGGCCGAGGTGGCGGCCAAGACCGAGAAGCCTGCCGAGAGCTCTTACCGTAGCCGTCCTAAGGATCTCGTCCCGAGGGACAAACCCATTCGGGGACCACGGTACACTCATTATACTCCTTTGAACACTAGTCGATCGGTTGTATTAGACTAGGCACTTGCCTCGGAAGTCTTGGCAGTGCCGAAACGAGCCTCGACCCCCCCACGAGCCGATACAAGCAAGTCCTGTAAATACCATCGTAACCGGGGTCACTCAACTAAAGAGTGCGCGACTCTTCGAGACAAAATTGAGGACTTAATCAAACAAGGACAACTTCAACATTTTGTTGATCGACCTCGCTCCCCCCAACATGATGATCGTCAGCATCGTCGAGATCAATCCGATCAAGACAGATCTGACAGGCGTCCCTTCAGGGAACGAAGTCGGTCGAGAGGCCGAAAGGAAGACGAGCCGACGACTTAGCCCCGAAGAGTCATCAACACCATTGCCGGCAGATTTGCCGGCGGAGGCGCTTCCTCATCGGCACAAAAGAGGCACCTGCGAGCCGTCCGAGCTGTACACGCGGTGGACCGTACTCAACGCAGGATGCCGACCATCACGTTCACCGAAGCAGACTTCAAAGGCATTGATCCAGACCAAGACGATCCAATGGTCATCAGTGTCGAAATTCACAACTGCATAGTTCGAAAAACGTTGGTCGACCAGGGCAGTTCGACTGATATACTATATTGGAACACATTCAAACAGCTCGGCATCCCGGAAGCCGAATTAATCCCGTATAATGAGCCCTTGGTTGGATTTTCTGGTGAACGGGTACAAATAAAAGGGTACATCAAGTTATTCATTCGCTTCTGCTTTGATGGAGCCGAAGCCCGCGACATTCCGGTGAAATACGTGGTTGTGCACGCCAACACGTCTTACAACATCCTCCTCGGAAGACCCTCCCTCAACAAGTTGGGTGCAATTGTGTCAACACCACACTTGGCTATGAAGTTCCCATCCGAATTGGGTCGGATTATCACCGTCCATGCCGATTAGAAAGCGGCTAGGAAGTGTTACTTTGCTAGCCTCCGGTTGCCCCGGCTTGAAGCAACCGAGCCGCGGGGCTTAAAACGAGTTCACACAGTGGCACAAGATATTGAAACGATAGTGGACTTCGACCCTCGAATGGAGCTAGACGAGAGGCTCGAACTGATTGAAGACCGACATCCAATTATTATCGGACCGACCGACTTACACGTAACCTATCTCGGTTCCAACCTGTCAGAGATAGAAAAGCGCGATATCGGCCAAGTTGTCAAAAAAAACAAGGATCTCTTCGCATGGCGGCCAGCCGATATGCCAGGGATTGACCCAACATTTTTGTGCCACAAGCTTTCGGTGTGCCGGGAAGCAAAGCCGGTTGCCCAACGAAAAAGAAAAATAGGGGAAGAAAGGAAAAAGGCAGTCGAAGCAGAAGCTTCCAAGCTCTTAGAAGCAGGTTTCATTCGAGAAATCCAGTATACGACCTGGTTGGCCAACGTTGTTATGGTCAAAAAGTCTAAAGGCAAGTGGCGAATGTGCATCGATTACACGGATTTGAACAAGGCATGTCCCAAAGATGCCTATCCGTTGCCGAATATAGACCGATTGGTTGATGGGGCGGCCGGCCATAAGTTTTTAACTTTTCTCGACGCGTACTCAAGTTACAATCAAATTCGTATGTACCCCCGAGACGAAGACAAGACGACGTTTGTCACAGAATCTGCCAATTACTGCTACCAAGTGATGTCGTTCGGCCTCAAGAATGCCGGTGCCACGTATCAACGGCTCATGGACAAGATTTTCGGCAACCAGATTGGGAAAAACATAGAAGTTTATGTAGATGATATGGTGGTCAAATCGGCCGACACACCTTCCCATGTAACGGACCTGGCCGAAGTCTTCCATGCCCTCCGGAAGCACCAAATGCGACTTAATCTCAATAAGTGCGTATTCGGTGTCTCAGGCGGCAAATTCTTAGGTTTCATGCTATCAAGCCGGGGCATTGAGGCTAACCCGAACAAATGCCAAGCTATCATCAACATGAGAAGCACGACAAACTTGAAAGAGGTCCAAAAACTAGCTGGCCGACTGACAGCATTGTCTCGTTTCCTACCATGCATGGCCGAGACTTCCAAGCCAATTCTTAGCCTCATGAAAAAAGCAAATCGGTTTCAATGGACGGACGAGTGTGAAACATCTTTTCAACTCTTCAAGAAACGTCTCGGCACTCCACCAGTGCTGAACAAGCCGACACCCAGCCGAGAACTAATCCTATACTTGGCAGTTTCTGGTGAGGCCATAAGCGCCGGTCTAATATAGGAACGCGATGGCCAACAGCAACCCATATATTTTATCAGCCGAGTGCTTCAAGATGTCGAGCTCCGATACCAATTATTGGAGAAGGTAGCGTTGGGTCTCATATACGCGGCTAGGCGCCTTCGGCAGTATTTCCAAAGCCACACCGTGGTGGTCCTAACAGATTGCCCGATCGCCAAAGTACTTTGAAAGCCAGAACTAGTGATGGAGCTACTTGGAGAAGATTGATGAATCTTCAATCCAATTTTGGAACGGCCCGTTCCAGTTTAATTTTTTTTTCAGAGCCAGCACTTTTAAGATCGGTTATAAAACAACCGATCTTAAAAGTTAACTTTTAAAATCGGCTCTTTTCGGGTCGTTCTACAAGGAGAACGTCCCGTTTTCCTTGAAGAACAAGCCGTTCCAGATTCAAAATTTACCCAAAATGAACCTATAACGAAAATAGAGACAAGAGAAGAGCATGAGAAAACGAAAAGAGACACAAGAAGAGCATGAGAAGACGAAAACGAAAACGACAACGAAATTTACCTTATTAGAGACTTTAGAAAATGAGAGCGCGAGAGAGTAAAAAAAGGAATGGAGGGAAAGATGAAAGAGAATGAGAATGGAGAGAAATATAAAAGGTTTCTAACAATACTTTTAAAATTAGTAATTTAAGAACCGATTTTGTATACTACATACAAAATCGGTTATGAAATAATCGATTTTAAAAATAGCACTTTTAAAATTGGTCATAAAATAATCAATCTTAAAAGTACTTTTAAGATCGGTTAAATTTTAACTGATCTTAAAAGTGTTCATATTATTTACAAAATTGCCACCGCGTCACTTTTAAGATCGGTTACCTTGTAACCGATCTTAAAACTCTGATTTTAAATTCAATTTTTGCACTAGTACTACATTTAACTTCTTTAGTAACATTTGTTTACTTACATTTATTAAAATGTTATTATAAATTAAGTTAATAAGTTATTGCAACATTTTTTCCCTAGAAAATATTATTGTAGATCAAGTAACATTTTATTATCTCAATATTGTTCTTTCTAGTTGTTTTCCAAATTAAAGTCTACATCGAATAAAAGGATGATACATAAAGAGTATATTTCTCTAATCTCTAATTGTTTTCTCAAATTAAAAAATTTTACATCGAGTAAAAGAATTACATATAAAGAATATATATATATATATATATTAAGATTATTTATTTTACTATTTAAAGCAAGTTATCTTTATCGTTGATTTGTTGAAGAGAAAATCAATGGTTAATAACATACTCATAATTTGTTATGCATGAGTACATAAAATTCACTATTGATTTCTTAAGAATAAATGATATTGCTTACTTTAACATTTAAAGTGAGTTGCTGATTTTGTAGAAGTCAAATGTCTCATTTTTAGATTTATCTCATTCAATGTAAGTGAACATGAAGGTAACAGTAAGAAATATCCGATGTTATTGAAAAAATAATTAATTGGTGATATTTCAACTTATCTATATTGATAGTTTCCCGTGCGTTTGTTTTAATTTTCATCATAATTAGAAGCTAAAAAAAATCTACGATAGTACAATCTTATTAAAAATTGGAGCTTTTTTGTTTGTTACAAAATCAGAAGCTATTTTAAAGCAGTTCTCATGCATATAAATAAACATAAATTACCTACTACTTTTTTTAAAAGAAAAAAATCACTACAAAAATCATTAGATTATTTTATACTAATATATATATATATATATATATATATATATATATATATATGTATTCGTAACGGTTATATTATAACTTATAAGCGGGTCTGTGGATGATCCGGCCCATTTCTAGACCCAATGAAAAACCCTAAGAAATCTATTACAAACCTGAATTTCTATAAACCCTCCCCAACTGCTCTATTACTTTTGATTCAGTTTGCGTTTTTAATTTTTGTGCTTAGGATCACTTTGTCCTCTAACAACATCAGGAATCTCCAGAAGGGTATCTATCTATCATTTCCATCGTTCAGTACTCAAATCCTACTCTTAAATTAGCTTTTTTCGATATCTTTTATTTCATAAATTTGGTTTTGCATTTCATCTTGTTTATTTATTATTATTTTTTCTTTAACGATAGCTTGACCCGACCTAGTTTGTGGTGCAAGGACAAGTGCTTGTTCTTCACATCACCACCAGGAAATCCCCATTTGGTGAAGGTAATTTTAGTTTAAATTTGTTCTTATAAATTTCATTTTTATGTACTTCTTTCTAGATTCTGATAAAAAATGCAGCTTTATGATTTTCTTTTGTAATTACTCGTATTCCCTTGTGCTCTTGGAAACCAGAAGTTGTCTGACGAGTGCTCATTATGGTCATGATGCCCTCAATTCCTTTCATTTTACTTGAATTTTATATATTTATATCTTATATATTCAGATTCAAAATTTTCTGTACCTTTATCTTAATGGACAATATATGATTGTGTTGGTGATTTTTTGAAGCTGAACAGAAAAGAGAAGAAATGGGGTTAGGGCTGAGAGAGATAAGGTGTAGTGGAGAGCCTCTCGTCGACAGTGAGAATGGGGAGGAGTTGATGAGGGTGCAGCCTGGTGTAGGCATAGCCTTGGCCGATCTTCCTTGCGAGTCCCCTGGCACACTTTATATCACTAACAAGTATGTTATCCCTTATCCTCTCCTCTTTTTTCTCTTGTTCCAATTTTTTTGTATTGTTGTGTGCTCTATTCTGTATTCATTCACACTTTGATTTTACATACAGGCAAATAATTTGGGTGAATGATGTAGACAGGAGTAAAGGATATGCTGTTGATTTTTTATCTATATCTCTTCACGCCATCTCCAGAGACCCTGACACTTACCCCCTTCATTGTTTATAT